ATAGATTTCATTAATTTGCAGGGATTTCCTCTTACTTCCTCTTTTGGCTATGGGACAAGAAGTGAAGGGAAATCTTCACATTGGGACAAATGTGAGGGTAAAAATAAACCTGACAGGGGTTATAACCCTCCCTTACTCTATCAAAAATGAAAAAAAAAAAAAGTTTTGCTTATAGTTCTACTTTCAGTAAACCAGGCCTTATGGCTCGATAGCTTATCCAAGTTATCCATGCTGACTGGCTAATAATGTAATGTATTGGAAATCAAATGCTACTTACTATATGACAGACATTCCAGAGGATTTTTGCTATGCAATACAGCAACGCAGCCTATCTTGTGATATTTCCACACTATGACTTGATTATTCTTAGTGGATCCTAAAGAAAAGTAGAATATATTTACTTTTGCCATATTTATTAGTTTTTTTCATAGGACTATGATCTAACAACATTCCATGTTCAGCTGTCAGAATGTGTCCATATAATGTATTGGTGACAGTGACACAACATATTTGTTTATTAGTGTGACGAAGGATACAGTGGGATTGATTTACTAAAGAAATAGAGACTGTTCAGTTAGAAAAGTTAACGTTCACATATCTTAAAGTAGAATTTAACAAAAATAAGCTGACCGGTAGGATTTTTATGACAGAAGAGACCATGTTAGCCTCTTCTGTCTAAACCGCTTCTCTCTATCTGTCAGCGCTAATGTACACTGAGAAGTGCATACGGCACCACTCTGTGCCATGATGATGACGTTCGCATGCCCAGGAGTAATGTCATTACGACCCGACCAATCAAGCAACAAAAGAGTCCAAACCCAGGAGGAAGACTAGATGAAGATGGAAGTGGCCGTGACAGCCAAGAGCGATGACACCACAGCACTAGAGAGGATCACTTGGCAGGTAAGTCAGCCATAATTATGGCATGAAGCCGGGAGCTATTTTTAATTTTTTTTTCTTAATAATTAAGGTTTAATTATGTTTCAATAAACAAGCTGTGTTTACTTTGGATACCTTTACATATACATGGGACATTTAAAACAAAAAAAAAACATTTTTACTTGCTCACAATTGGAAGGTTGTGCTAAACAGAGCTTCACCCTATTTATGCATGGATACAGTCACTTTGCTATTCCTTTAATAGATCAATCCCATTGTGTTTTTATTTCCTTGCCACTTGGATTATTTTATAAAGAAAACTACTGTATATGCAGTTTGTATCAGTAGTGGTTTTGTGAGCAGACATTTTATTTTGACTTTCACATTATTTTGTATTTATTGCCTGCTATTTTATTAATTTATGTGTTTATGTATTTATTTATTTATGTTTATTCAATACATTTTTTAAAACAGTAATACATAATGATAAGATTAGCAGATACTGATATGCAGCCATGGGCTCTGGACTTTGTTTATATCTCAGCCAAGACATCTTCTGTGCGTCAACAGTGTTGTGCAAAAGCTTCCCATAGATGTCTATGCAACCATCTGCTGAGCATCTCCAGCTCTATGGCCCTATAGAAGTCTATGGGGAATTACTTTGCAGGCTTAAAGAATAAGTTCACCTTTCATTATATGTTACATGTTACACCCATATTCAAGGTGTAACATGGTACGAACTGACCGGACCCCGCTCCTCCCCGCTCCTTGTTGTGATAGCTAGCAGGGGATCTTCTCCCTCCCCGCTAGCTGTCACAATTTTAAAAAAACGTGGCTGTGCAGGGTTCCGCCCACCCGGCCATGTCATGCGATTTGAGCCCATTTAAAATGAATGGGCTCAAATAGCACTGCACTGAATAGCTTGTGAATTGTACAGAAATGCAGTGTGCATTCCTGTGCAATTAATGGTGTGAAGGCTTAGGACTTTTTGTAACATAAAGGTGCTACAGGAATGCAACTGTATGGCTTAATAACACTCAGATTGCTGCCGCCCACATTCCTGTCCTTTGCTGCTGTGATGTTGAGGGATGCTCTGGGAGGGGGGGTTTGAACCCCTCTAACCCCCCCTTATCTGCGCCCCTGCACTGGGCAGCTGTACTAGAGGTTCCTTGTTTGTAAAAGTAATCTTAACTACTTGCCAACCGCAGATAGCCGAATGACAGGTACACTGCGGCCAGCCAGTTTTGGGAGGGCGTCATATGACGTCCTCCCAGAACGCGCTCTCCTGCGCACCCACGGGGGCGTGCACCTGGCGATCTCCATGATCGCTGTGTCCTATGGACACAGCTGATCACGTGATGTGGTAAAAGGCAAATCACAGCGGCATTTTACCATGTGATCAGCCATGTCCAATGACACGCTGATCACCGGGAAATGCAATTGCCGGTTCTCGGCTGCACTTTCCTCACACTGTCAGAGCGTAAGGAAAGTACTGCCGAGAAACCGGCAGTTGTCAGAGCAGGGATCGGCACCGATCATCAGGGCACTGATGATCAGTGCCGAGCAGTGCCACCCACCAGATCCACCCACCTGTGCCCAGCAGTGCGCCCACCTGTGCCCAGCAGTGCACCCTCCTGTGCTTAGCAGTGCACCAACCTGTGCCACCCAGCAGTGCCAAACACCTGTGCCCAGAAGTGCCACCTACCAGTGCCCAGCAGTGCCACCCACTTGTGTCCTCCCACCTGTGCCCACCAGTGCCACCAACCTGTGCCCACCTGTGCCACCCATCAGTGCAGCCCAGCAGTGCTGCCAGTCAGTGCCACCAGTCAGTGCCACCAGTCAGTGCCCAGCGGTTGTGCCAGTCAGTGCCCAGCAGTTGTGCCAGTCAATGCCTAGCAGTGCCGCCAGTCAGTGCCCAGCAGTGATGCCAGTCAGTGCCACCTATCAGTGCTGTCTATCAGTGCCACCTATCCGTGACACCTCATTAGTGCTGCCTATCAGTGCCCCTATCCATGACACCTCATTAGTGCTGCCTATCAGTGCTGCCTATCAGTGCCCTTCAGTGCGGCCTATCAGTGCCGCCTATTAGTGTCCATCAGTGCTGCGTCATCAACGCACATCAATGAAGGAGAAAAATTACCTGTTTGAAAAATTTTATAATAGAAACGAAACTTTTTTTTTTCAAATTTTTTGCACTTTTTTTGTGTATAGCGCAAAAAGTAAAGTGCCCAGCAGCGATTAAATACCACCAAAAGAAAGCTCTATTTGTGAGAAAAAAATGATAAAAATGTCATATGGGTATAAACTTGCATGACCGCGCAATAATCAAAGTGCGACTTTGAAAATTGGCCTGGTAAAGAAGGGGGTAAAAGTGCCCGGTAGGCAAGTGGTTAAAGGTAAATTATTTGAAGTGACTCACCAATCACATGACTTGTCTCAGGTAGACATACTAGTTGCTTTATTTGTGGGCTGTTTTCTTGACTTTGAAAAGTATCCACAAATTCAGATATCTGAAGAGAAAACAAATATAAGTAATAGAAGTGTTTTGAGAGGGTCAATCATTTTGTTTGGTTCTGTTGTAATGATTTGCTGTCAAGCTCTATAGTTGAATAAGCAAGCAGGACAAACTCCATTAGGCTGTATTTGGTAAAGCAAAGTAGTTAGCAATGATGATTTATGTGCAAAACTGCATCAACACTTAAGAATTTTAGTTGACTGAAGACAGATCAGTAAAAGATACTGTATATTCTGATTAGTTGCTATGGATTACTTTAATTTACACTTTTCTTTTTTCTTTATTGAATAAATGCAAAAAAATCCCTGAGAGCAATGGCTTTCCAAGACCAGAGCTGTGACATTAAGTAGCTTCAAGAACAAGACGCCTCCAAATTGTTTTGTAAGGCATGAAAAGCAGCTAATCAATAGGGGGTTGAGTTGCACCATCCTGGCTGATTAGTTAGGGCACATAAGGAGGGGTTTCCCACTTGTTGATTTGTACAGTATAAAAATCAGTCATATAACCTAGCTTTTTAAATGGTTATCAGATGCATTGTTTTGTTGTTTATACAAATTAAAACACATCATTTATTGTGAACCTAGACCTACGTTTTTGCTAACAAAAGTGAAGACAAGATCACTTACTATGTCCCCAGATCGTGGGTCCAGAACAAGTGGTTGACTGTTCCCACTGGTAATCCACACTGCCTTCACCGATGCCACATAGCACATGCCAGTGATTTCACCTGTAAACTGGCGAAGCCTCTGGACTAGCTGACCATCTTGTGACCAAACCCCAACTGTACAGTCGAAAGAGCCTGTCAAAAACCTGTTAAAAATGCTTGGTGTTATGGATTAAGGGCAATTGCATAAATTACATTTATTATAACTATGGATTTTGAATATTTCATAGCACAGCTGTGAGGTTTTTATTGCTTGAGGCCATCATACATGGCATTTAAAGTATATGCATGTACCTTGTACAGTCCCGGTCACGAATGAGTAGGAGGAGTGAGTAATTCCTGCATCATGAGCACGGAAATTGCAATGTACAGCTTTAAGACAAATCTTTTCTGGGGTCTGATATGTGTCCCATATCAAAAACTTTCTGTCATATCTAAAAAAAAAGAAATACTTTAATCTGAAAAAGTTAAGTAAGTAGACAATGTCATATTTTTACATATTCTTAATATATTATTATTATTACTACGAGTTTATATAGCGCCAAAGGGTTTGCTCAGCGCTGTACAATATATGCTACATGAATTAAACATGTGGCATGTAAAAGTTTCTCTTGTTAATAAGACATATGATAATTGGTTGTCCTACAAATGTCTCAGTAGGCAGTAGGCCACCTCCTGGACTGTTTATATGGAATATTTTATAAACTTGCATGCTTAAGGAGCTTTGCATGTGTTTGAATTTCTGTCCAGTTCCCCACTGTGTCTTGTTGTGACTGAGCAGAGAAAACCTGATGCAGTGTTCACAGTCTATGTGCTGCTTGTACTATCTATGCTTTAAAGGTCGGTTCCCCTTAGGGTCGGTTCACACTATAGAAATGCAGTGCAGATGCGTTTTGGATGCGTTTCCGCATGCACATTTTTTATGCGTTCCAGTGAGTTTTTTTATGCATTCCAGTTAATTTTTTCCCCTCTCATTTTCTTCAATTTATATAGGGACATGTGCATTCCAGTGCATTTTTGGTGCGTTCCAGTGCGTTTTTGATGCATTTTACCACGTTCCAGTACAGTTCTGTGCAGAAAAAATGCAGCATATTCTACTTTTTTTTTCTGCAACCGGAAACGCACTGGAATTGCAAGCACTGATGTGAACTATGACGTTGACAACCATATAACCTACTTTCTGTGTGTTTTGGATGAAGAAAAAAGCAACTGAAATGCATGTAGTGTGAACTGGCCCTAAAGCTTTTTGTTTCACTTCTGGTTAGTTCCAGATGCGTTTTGGATGCGTTTCCGCATGCACACCTTTTATGCGTTCCAGTGAGTTTTTTATATGCATTCCAGTTAATTTTTTCCCCTCTTATTTTCTTCAATTTATATAGGGACATGTCCATTCCAGTGCATTTTTGGTGCGTTCCAGTGCATTTTTGATGCATTTTACCACGTTCCAGTACAGTTCTGTGCAGAAATAATGCAGCATATTCTGTTTTTTTTCTGCAACCGGAACGCACTGGAATTGCAAGCACTGATGTGAACTATGACATTGACAACCATATAACCTACTTTCTGTGCGTTTTGGATGGAGAAAAAAAGCAACTGAAACGCATGTACTATGAACTGGCCCTAAAGCTTTTTGTTTCACTTCTGGTTAGTTCCAGCAAATTTCCAAAATTGCCAGCCAAACATAATATCTCTTGGGGACTCTGGTGGAGACTACTGTCCCTGAACTCCCAGTTTGTCCAAACTACCAGAGCTACTGCAATGTAGTTCCCTTCTCATTATTGTTTTTTGGTTTATGGTATTTTAGGTTGCAGACAAAGTAACAAGAATAGTGAGACTGTGCTTGAGGGTGCAGAGATACGAACTCCAGTGGGATGATCATACAACTAGAGCCCCTAGATCCATAACTGAAATACTAGTATAATTTTATTGTAAAACATGTCAAGTATAAGTCTGGCCAGATGGCTATAGAATAAATGATCATCATTGTTTAGCTGGGCTATACTGATTGATATCTATCAAATACCTATAAATATTTATGGGAACATCTTCCAGGCAAAGGAATGTGATAACATTTAAACATATATTGCCATTTTGAAACCAACCTAAATTCTACAGGTGAAACTCGAAAAATTTGAATATCGTGCAAAAGTTCATTTATTTCAGTAATGCAACTTAAAAGGTGAAACTAATATATGAGATAGACTCATTACATGCACAGCAAGATAGTTCAAGCCGTGATTTGTCATCATTGTGATGATTATGGCTTACAGCTCATGAAAACCCCAAATCCACAATCTCAGAAAATTAGAATATTACATGCAATCAATAAAACAAGGATTGTACATAGAACAATATCGGACCTCTGAAAAGTATAAGCATGCATATGTACTCAGTACTTGGTTTGGGCCCCTTTTGCAGCAATTACTGCCTCAATGCAGCGTGGCATGGAAGCTATCAAACTGTGGCACTGCTGAGGTGTTATGGAAGACCAGGATGCTTCAATAGCGGCCTTCAGCTCTTCTGCATTGTTCGGTCTCATGTCTCTCATCTTTCTCTTGGCAATGCCCCATAGATTCTCTATGGGGTTCAGGTCAGGCGAGTTTGCTGGCCAATCAAGCACAGTAATCCCACGGTCATTGAACCAGGTTTTGGTGCTTTTGGCAGTGTGGGCAGGTGCCAAGTCCTGCTGGAAAATGAAGTCAGCATCCCCATAAAGCTCGTCTGCGGAAGGAAGCATGAAGTGCTCCAAAATCTCCTGGTAGACAGCTGCGTTGACCCTGGACTTAATGAAGCACAGTGGATCAACACCAGCAGATGACATGGCTCCCCAAATCAACTTCACACTGGACTTCAAGCATCTTGCAGTGTGTGCCTCTCCATTCTTCCTCCATACTCTGGGTCCTTGGTTTCCAAATGAGATGCAAAAATTGCTCTCATCAGAAAAGAGGACTTTGGACCACTGAGCAACAGACCAGGTCTTTTTCTTTAGCCCAGGTAAGACACTTCTGATGTTGTTTATTGTTCCGGAGCGGCTTGACAAGAGAAATACAACATTTGAAGCCCATGTACAGGATCCATCTGTATGTGGTGGCTCTTGATGCACTGACTCCAGCCTCAGTCCACTCCTTGTGAAAGTCCCCAACACTTTTGAATGGCCTTTTCCTGACAATCCTCTCCAGGCTGCGGTCATCCCTGCTGCTTGTGCACCTTTTTCTTCCACACTTTTCCCTTCCACATAACTTTCTATTAATGTGCTTTGATACAGCACTTTGGGAACATCCAACTTCTTTTGCAATTACCTTTTGAGGCTTTCCCTCCTTATGGAGGGTGTCAATGATGGTTTTTTGCACAACTGTCAGGTCAGCAGTCTTTCCCATGATTGTGATTCCTGTTGGGAATGCAACAGCATGTACTATAATGTACTATATACAGTATTCTGTGGTAATATCACTTGACCAGTAGATGGCACTGTACGCTAAAGGTTACTAGTTGTGTATGTGTAAAACTTGCTGCTTCTTCCTTTTCTCTATCATCTCTTCAGGAAGTAATGAGTCTGTAATATGTCTGCTGAAATGTGCTCTGTATGTTTGTAACTTAAGCCACACAAGTAAAGCCTGAATTCTGCTATCACTACCAGTGTCTTCTATAACACATAACCAACAGGTTATGGACCCAGCTCCAGACACTGGAAAAAGGAAAACTACAAGCAAGTAAGTGCTGCATTTACAATCCAATTCACTGAAAGATGGCAAGTGCTTCAGATATGAAGTTTACAATAGCAAAGCTCAACAACACCAACTACCAGCTATGGAAGTTTAAGCTTGAAATGCTGTTATCCAAAGATGACTTGTGGCAGGTACTAGATACACACAGACCCAATGACAACCCAGAAGAATGGGACAGAAAAAACAGGCAAGCAAAAGCAGTCATAAGCCTGTTAGTGGAGGACGATCAACTCATTCATATAAGGAAAGAAAGCACAGCTAAAGGTATGTGGACTGCACTACAAAGACTGCATGAACGTGCAAACCTAAACAGTAAACTATATCTACTGCGCAAACTGTATAAGATGAGGTTGGAAAAAGGGCAGGAAATGGGTGAACATGTAAATGCTATGCTAGAAATTGTGGACCAGCTGGGTGCAATAGGTGAAGAATTAAAAAGCAACCATGTTCTGTCAATACTTCTGTGCAGCCTTTCAGAATCATACAGTGCCCTTATAAATGCTCTAGAAACTAGACCGGAAACTGAACTGACGCTAGAATATGTTAAGGGAAAATGAATTGATGAATACAGCAGAAGAAAGGAAAATTTGCATAGTGAAGAGAACGAGAGACCAGAGGCAGCTCTGAAGGTGCATGAAGGCATAAGACAAAGCAAAGAAACCAGGGTATGTTTTTCGCTGCAAAAAGGCCGGTCACCTGAAAAAGAACTGTTCAATCTGGAAAGCTGAGCAGCAAAAGCGGGAGCTACCCACAAGAGAAAGAGCTAAAGCAGTCATGAAAGAAAATGAAAGTGCATCATGGAGTGGTACTTTTAAAGTGACTCAGAATAGTACCTCACATGGATGGTACATTGATTCAGGGGCAACAAGTCACATGACAAGCGACGAGACATTCTTCACAGAAATTGATTTTAGTGTGAAAGATGAAGTCTTCCTAGCAAATGGGAAAAGTATTACAGCAGAAGGTAATGGTCAGGGATTTCTGAACTGCAAAACGCCATCAGGGGGCAAGCAGAGCATCCTTGTAAAGAATGTTCTATATGTTCCAAGCCTCCTATCAGTTAAAACCCTTGCAAGCAATGGACTCACTGTCCAGTTCAGAGGTAATGAATGCACAATTCAAAATGGAAAGCAAATTTTTAGCAAGAGGAAGATTAAATGAACATCTGTACAAACTCGTCACTGAAAGTGAGAAGGCCAATGCGGCAACTCATAGCCCACATGACAAGTGCATCCACCTGGGCATAGAAGATTGGGGCATCGAAACCCAGAAGGACTTTGCAAAGAGAGGTCTATCAGAAGACATGAAAATATTGCCTTGCCACACACTCAGCAAGTGCGCGTGTTGCATCAAAGCAAAGGCCACCCGAACCCCTCTTCCACAGACCAGTCAGAGTAAAACCATTAAACCCATGGAACTGATACACAGTGATGTGTGCGGACCAATGAAAACCATCACACCTGGTGGGAACAGATATTTACTGACTTTCATCGACGATTATTCCAGGTACACAATAACGTATCTAATGAAGCACAAAAGTGAGACATTAGAAAAACTTCAAGATTTTGTAGCTATGACAAGCAACAAGTTTCAAAGGAAACCTGGAATAATACGCACTGACAATGGAGGGGAATATATGAATAAAGAGATGGAATCATACCTAAAGAAACAAGGTATTATACAACAAACAACCGTACCATACACTCCTGAGCAAAACGGTGTAGCGGAAAGAAAGAATCGCACTCTTGTAGAAATGACAAGATGTATGCTTACCTAACAAATACTGGGGAGAAGCAATAATGACTGCAACATACCTACAAAACAGGCTCCCATCAAAACCTATTGAGAGTACACCATATGAAATGTGGAATGGATCAAAACCTAACGTAGGACACATCAGAGTATTTGGCTGTAAAGCATATGCCCACATTCCAAGTCAGAAACGCTCCAAGTGGGAGAACAAAGCCATAGAAGGCATTCTGGTTGGCTACAGTGAGCAGAGTAAGGGATATAGAATCCTTTGTCCAAAGACCAACAAGGTCACAGTAAGCCGCAGTGTTTATTTTAATGAAAGTGAAGCACCAGATAATACAATTCTTGAAAAATGTGGAGAGGATTTACACACTGAATCGGCAAGAGACACTGATTTATGTGAAGCAGGACAAGAGCCAGAACAAGAAGTGGAACTTACAATCAACGATCCAATAGAACCCACTGAACAACAAGAAATCAGAAGATCCTCACGATTGACAAAAGGGATACCACCCCGCAGGTTATCATACGCTGCTAAAACACATCAAACACAGGAGCCAACATCCTGGGAAGACATAGAAACTTTGCCGAGAAGGGAAGCCGATCAGTGGAGAAAAGCAGCTGAAGAAGAAATAAAATCACTTCAAGAAAATAAAACTTGCAATTGCCCAAGGCCCCATGTGCTCTAAAAGCCCCCTTACAACAGCAGAAATTGAGTATTACAGCTATGCCCAGTCACTGTAATGCTGCAGGTTGGAATATCCATAGCCCTGTAATGACTGCATATAGATAGGTATAGTATATACCTGCTGCTCTATATAGACCTCTGTGTCTTCACAGCTTCTTGTGGCTCTGTCATGTGATTTCTCATGTGACAGAACTGCAAAAAGAAGTTAGGGGTGAGCTTTCTTTGAAATTCTGACAGGTGTACATCAACTCATTGGTTGTGCTTTAATGCTCTTTCTCAAAAACGCAAGTTTTTGGTGTTGATCTAATAAAGAAGAAAAAAAACGTTCCCTTAGATAAGATAATAAAGTGAATCTGTTTTAACTGAACACAAAAACCCTCCCAAAAAAACAAGATTTTGCCTTGAACGTAATTGAATGATTGAACACACATTCACTTTCGTCCCCAACTTGCTTTGCTAAAGCTGGTCAT